GGCCTTACCCTGGATTTATACTTGTAGAAGAGCAGCCCTCCCATGGCCAGCAAGACAGCCACCACGCTGGCCACCGTGATGTATATGAGGGGCTCCCGGTGGCCCTCCCTGACGGCTGGCTCCCTCCCGCGCTGCTCTGCGCTCAGAACAAAGCCAGAGTCAAAGCTGGGACCAGCCCCGCCGTCCTCAGGCTCCCGCAGCCGGCTCAGCCCCCAGCCTCGCACCCTCGCCCCATCCCCGGGGCCACCCGGTGCTCGGCCCCGCATCTCCGGGGCCATCCTGGAGAAACGGAGCTGCGTGACGGGCTCAGGTGCCTCGGCGGGACGGATCCTGGCTCCGCCGCCACCTGCTGAGCCGGCGCTGGGGGACACTGCCGGCGTGGTGGTGCTGAGCCCGCTGGAATGGTCCGGGAGGATGGAGGCTCCCTGCTTCTGGACCGGATCCTGCGGCGAGTGGCCGGCCACCGTTTCAGTGCCCCTGTCCACCAAGTCTCCATCCCCACGCAGGATGGGGATGTCCACCACTGCCAGGTTAAGGGTCCCGGCTGGATCCAGGAGAGCTTCGGCACTGTCAGCTGGAGCTGTCTGCTGCATCACGGAGGATGGCACCGACACCGTGTCACCTACCCCGGCACCCAGGACCTCCTCGGTCCCCGAGCCGCCGTCCATGCTACTGGGGGGCTGAGACGGGGTGTCTAAGTCAGCGAGGGTGGCATGGAGGAGGCTGTAATGGACCTGGGTGCTAGCGGGTGCCACCTCCCTGCCAGCATGGGTGGCAGCGGAGAGGGAGGGCTGGGTGGCAGAAGGGAGAGCAGGGGACAGGCAATTGCAGTCGGGATCTGTCCCCACACCTGAAAGAAGCAGAGAGAAGAGACGGCCGTGGGGTCACCAGCCCCCAAGAGGGGCCCAGCCAGAAGATCTGAGGTCGGGGGCAGCGTCCCCGTCCCTCCCCGCAGCCCCAGGCAAGCAGGTCTGACAGCACCCCAAAAAAAAAAAAAAAAAAAGTGAGAGCAAAAGTGAGGCAGGGAACAGGCAGGGAGCAGGCAGGGACAGATGTGGCAGCACAAAGATGACAAGCAGCGGGCAGGATGAAGCAAACCCGAATCGCCGGGTGCCCTGAGCCAATGGCAGCAGGTTATCTATGACTTGCAGGAGCCGAACAGCCACGTTTAACATCCCCCACGCACGGGGACACGACACAGCTCCGACACACGGACAACCCCGAGAGATCTCCTCCATGGGCATGCAAACACACAGCACGGGTGCTCGCAAAAGCACGGATGGCAACACAGGGCTCTTCCACCCCGGCAGACAACGCTCTCCCGAAAGGCTTGGTCAGGGGAAACTGAGGCACGGGGCAGCTGAAGTGACACGGCCAAGGTCATGCAGCATGTCGGTGGCAGAGGGGTCCCGGCACCTTGACTTCTTTGCGTTATGCTCAGCCCGGGCGCTGGGGCTTTGAGACGGAGCCCAGCCAAATGCCTCCAGCTGGGCCGATGGAGATGCCTCCTCATTCCCCCTCAGCATCTCTCTCTGGCCTTGTTTCCATCAGGATTCAGCCCAAATCCAAAGTGGGGCCAGCCCCTTCTCCCAAGCCCAGCTCTCCCCAGACACAGACAGAGCTCGCCAACACACTGCCAAGGCCACCCCACAGGGATGGCCACCAGCCGAGCAACAGAGACAGGGACCAAGGCAGACACATGCCGTGCCCACGGCGCCCGCATGTGCCCACGGACGAGGACACGCGGCTGTCAAGCTGCTCCATGCAGGCGAGCCCGAGCCCCCTGGCCCAGCACGGGTTTGCTGGGCAGAGGCAAAGCCTCAGTGTCTCACCTGGTGAGGCTTCAGCTTTCCTGGGTCCCAGGCAGGTCCTGCGGTAGACCTGGCTGCAATCCTTCTCGAAGGTCTCCTGCTTCTGCAGCAGCTGGTTGATGTCCTGGAAGAATTGTTTCACCAGCACCAGCATCTCGTAGGGGGAGGTGGTGAACTCCTCAAAGCACATCTGTGAGAGCTGGAGGAAGAGCCGGGCTCAGCACCATCTCTGTGACCATGCAGGGCAGCTGGTGCCACCACCACGGGTTTGACCCCTGCCCAGCTCGCTGATCTCCATGCGCATCCCATCTCTGCTCCACTTGAAGGTCCTGCCCACACACCCACCCCAGGATGCTCTGGACTCCCCATTTCACCCAAGGATGAGGACTCAGACCCACACCCCCACAGACCTGGCACCCCACAAGGCAGGGGACACTGTACCTGTCTCTCCTCATCATCCTCCTCCCTGATGCAGGGGTCGACGTTCTCGTCGATGCGGCTGTACATCCTGCGCACCATCTGCATCTTCTTGGCGTTGGACGAGTTCTCCTTGAACTCTGTTCGCTCCAGGATCTTGCCCAGCAGAGGAAAGGCAGCTTTCACATAGCAGACAGAGTCCTTCTGCAGGGACACAGACATCCCCCCCCCAAAAAAATAAGTGAGACTGGTGACTGGATGGGCAGAGGCAGCAGCACCCATCCCACTCTGCCTGGGGGAAACTGAGACATGGAGCCACAAAATGCCTTTCTATGGTCCCACAGGCTGCCCAGGCTGGGACTCAACAGCCCCCTGACCAGGCAGGATGGTCCCTCCCAGGCTGCCTCCCGCAAAGACGGACAGGAGAGGGGAGACTAGGGACCCAGGGACCTGGTCCCTGTCCCTTTCTGTCCCCTGGTACCCAGCAAGGAGCCACTCACCAACCGCATCTTATTGATGAACTTGAAGGAGACCCTGCCCGGGTGCTGCATCTGGGTGTCAGCCTGGAAGGAGAGAGCAGGATGTGACCCTGCAGCCCCAGGGAGTAACACAGGGGAAGGGGCAGAGGAGCTGAGACGGGCACCCCGAGGGCGTGAAGAGATTGACTAAGCCCCCCAAATCTGCAGGGCGCGGGGGGGAGGTGTGGGTCTGCTCCCACCCCTGCTTCACCCCACATCATCCTCCTCCTCACACAGACACTGCCCTAAGTTTGAACCTCTGGCAGGGGTGAGCCCAGGACCCCCTCTCCCACCAGGACAGCGCACTCCCTGTATCAGGCACGCCCTGCCTCTTCCTTCTCCTCCTCCTCCTCTTCCTCCCAGCACCACGGCAGAGCCCAGCCCTGCTTGATTCTCCCATGATCTCCCGTGCTCAGCTCAAAGCCAGGCTGCGAAGGAGCATCCTGCCACGCAGGAGGTGGCCATGACACCAAGGTCACATATCCCCCGGCATCACACAACACCGGGGTCCCGCAGCCCCCTCCCCGTGACACAACTCTTTCCGATGGGGGTAAAAACCCACCCCAAACAAGCCCCCTGCCTCCGGGCCGGCATCCCAGGCTGGGAGGGCGAGGGCTG